CTTCATGATAGCCTAGAGCTGGATTTTGTAGGCCGACCAGGAAGAAGACCCGTCAAACGGTGGCACTTTGAATCCACATAGCGAAGGTCTTGTAGCTATCACGGGGTCTGTAATTCCATCCCCAAGTTTGAGGTCGTCCAGCGTTTTCTTCACGTCAGCCATCACGTTGTCAATGTTCACATGGTCGATTCGGGTTTCAGCTTCCGACAGGCGGTTGTCATGTTGAGCAACCCTATCCTTCACCTCCCTTATCTCTTTCCCGGAGGTAGCGTGAAGGTCCTTCCTGAGGAGCATCTGCTCTTTAATACCGCGCTGCAGCTGCTCTTCCAACCGACGGGCCCGTTCCTCCTGTCGACGGGCCTGCTCCTGCTGCATCATCATCAGAGCATAAGTCAGGTGCTGCAGTTGCAGGAGCTACTGACGGGCCGGCCTCCGTGGTCGGCAGCTGGCCCTCCGACGTCTGCGACGTCGCACCACCAAACCGTCTCTGGTCCTTCTCCTATTGGCGTTGACTTCGGGTACGGATACCCTCCGTGTTGTCTTTAGGTAAAATCGGCATATTTGATCCCACTTCTGACACCAATTGTGTCGAGCTTGGGGTTGGAGACAATTAAAAACTGTTGATTGAATTAACAAAATTGACACTTTAATTACAGAACGCCAATTACAACTTAACACAGTAATAATAAAATACAATTGTATTACTGTTCACTTTACATCGAAGTGATATAAATTCGAACTAAAGTGATCAGTAATACATTTTTTTTAAATACTAGTAATGCTATTAAACATTACTAATATTCCCTTTAACCACTTCTGGTAAGCTTAAAAGGCTTGTATTAGAAGTGGTTCACGACAGTAGTCGAATGACAGATCTGAACCCACGACCTTTCGAGTTCGCGGTCCGCGCCCTGCCATTAGGCTACTGACGCTATACCATTGTGTTTTATTATTAGTGTGTTTTTAAGTTGTAATTAGTGTTCCGTAATTAAAGTGTCAATTTTGGTAATTCAAACGGCAGTTTTTAATTGTCTCGAACCCCAAGCTCGTAACAGTATTATAGACGAGAACAGAGGTTTAGAAACCGATAGTATGGCCCAAACAAATGAAATTGATCTAATTTATAAATCACTTATAGTTTTGCTCGAATTTGACGGTAACCCGTACATCCTTACGCGCTTTATTAACCTGTGCGATCAATTGGTGTTAGCCCACGTACGAAATGAGCCCGGATACGAGATAGCCAATCTATCTCTTATTAATGGGATTTTAAATAAAATAACTGGGCCCGCGGCTAGGCTAATAAATTCAAATGGAATACCCCAAAACCTGTGTCGGCATCAAAAGCGCTCTTATAAATAACTTCGCCGACCATTGCGACGAAACTGCATTATACAGCGATTTATCACTACAAATCCAAGAGTCTAGTACCCCGCAAGAATTTTACGAGCGAGTTCAAAGTTTATTTAGTACGATATTGACCTATGTCACTTTACACGAAACGATTAGTACGACCATCGAAGCTAAGCGGGCACTTTATAACAACTGACCTTGCAAGCTTATTTACGCGGATTAAAAGACCCCCTAGGGTTCAGAATAAGATGTATGCGATCCGAAAGTATGGAGAAAGCACTCGAATTCGTGCAGGAGGAGTTAAACACCCTCTACCTCCAACAACGAAATGAAGGTAGTCAAAACAGGAAGGAATGGACTCAACCTACCCCTTGCTCTAATCTACCATTAAATAATTTCCTTCCAAAACCTACCGCGTTTAACATGCCTTCACTACCTAGACCACAGGGTAATAATACACTGAACTCGTTTAGACAGCTACCTATGCAACCGCATTCTGCACAGGGTTGGACACCTAATCTACCACCCCAGATGCATCTACCACGCGGTCCCACTCGTACGCAACAAATGATGCGTGCTCCTCCACCAAATTATAACACCCACAGTAATGTTTTTAAGCTTCCACACAGACCTCAACAACCACAGGGCTTCAATTTAAATAGTAACTCGCGCCCTTCTCCTGAGCGGTGTCACTCCATTTGTTTAGAAACCCTTACCACCGTCTGGACATGACTGGAGACGATTTGTCAACCCACCGCCGAGCAATTACTTTAAAACACGGGAGGTAAACTTTAACGAGACGGGTTTTGACTACGACTATAGCACCGACGCGTACTATGAATGCGGCTATCCTGACTATAACTATAATCAAGAGTACTGTACTTACGAACAATATCCTAACTATGGATACGAGCAACCTTATAACCATGCGGAAGCTCCTATCGTAGAGAAATTAGATACTAGTTTCACCCCGACTAATGATGAGGATTTTCAGAAGTGTCACAAATCAGAAAAACAAAAAGGGAAGTAAATTTCCAAATACAAAGGCATTTCGGTTACATTCAGTTAAGTAATCCTCCATTGAAATTCTTAACACCGGCGCTAACCAATCGTTTATTAGTCCCGAAGCTGTAAGAAAATATTTTAGCCATATTCCACTAAATTATAACCCATTCGAGGTCACCAATGTTCACGCGACAAGTAAAAATTATTATTCTATAACTCTCCCATGCCCTTAAAAATTTAATGAACGAGATAATATAACCTTGTTCATTTATAGATTTCATAATTACTTCGACGGACTGATAGGGTTTGATTTACTTGACATATGGGGTTCTAATATTGATCTTAGAAATAAACTACTTTATTACTCGTAACGCGAAAATTCCCATCGAAATGTATGACTCACGTAACGTTAATTTATATTAGAAAATTACCCGCCCAGTTATCAAAATTAGTTAAGTTGCCTATAAATTCAAAGGGCGGTGACGTAGTAGTTAAAAATAAAATAATTTGCAACTGCATAATTTCTAATTGTTTAACGAAAGTACGAGGTTGGGTCTAAATTACTAATAACAGCTCAAATTATGTAATTTTTTAAATGGACCGTCCGGTAGAAGCCGATATATTTAATGTCGAGTGCCAGTTTACTGAAACGTTATCGGATCGCGCAAAAAAACGTTTTATCCCGTCTTCGAACCGATCATCTTAATCCCGAAGAGCTAGCAAAGCTACAACGGTTATGCGCCTCATATTCTGATGTGTTTTACCTTGATGGTGAACCTTTAACATTCACCAACAAGATCAAACATAGAATTAAAACACACGACGAAATTCCCTTACATACCAAGAGCTTCAGATACCCGTATATCCACCGACAAGAAGTCCGGGTCCAAATCAATAAGATGCTCGAGCAAAATATAATTAGACCATCTGATTCTACCTGGAGCTCTCCTATTTGGATTGTAACCAAAAAGGCGGACGCTTTCAGCAAAATAAAATGGTGTCTTGTTGTGAATCTTCAGGAAGGTGAACGAAAAGACAATCGATGACAAATATCCTATTACTAATATAACCGATCTTATAGACAAACTGGGCAAATGTCAGTATTTTACCACGCTCGATTTAGCCAGTGGATTTTATCAGGTAGAGATGGATTCTGCGGATATTCACAAAACTGCTTTCAATGTAGAGAATGGGCATTATGAATTTATCAGGATGCCAATGGGCGGAAAAATAGTCCATCAACCTTCCAGAGGGTGATGGACAACGTATTAAAGAACTTCATCATCACCATCATCATTACAGCCTTTCATAAGTCCACTGCTGAACATAGGCCTCCCCCAAGGAATGCCACAAAGCACGGTCCTGAAACACCTGCATCCATCGACTTCCTGCATGTCTTACCAGGTCGTCACTCCATCTAGTGGGGGGTCATCCTACACTTCGCCTACCGGTACGAGGTTGCCACTCGAGAACCTTTCTTCCCCATCGGTTGTCGGTTCTTCGAGCTATATGGCCGGCCCACTGCTACTTCAGCTTACTAATCCGTTGGGCTATGTCGGTTACTCTGGTTATACTGCGGATATCCTCATTTCTAATAGAGGAATAAAATAATTAAAGTACTTACAGAACGAAATTTGTTTAGTATATCTAGATGACATAATTGTTTTCAGTACATCCTTACAGGAACATATGACTAATCTGGAAAAAGTATTCAAAAGGCTGCGGGAATCCAACTTCAAAATTCAGATGGATAAATAAATCAGAGTTTTTGAAGCTGGAAACCGAGTTTTTAGGTCATGTTATTTGTAAAAACGGAGTTAAACCCAACCCAGACAAAATTAAAGCCATCGGAATATACCCACTGCCAAAAACTACAACCGAAATTAAGCATTTTCTAGGACTTCTAGGATACTATAGAAAATTTATCGTTTGTCGTCTCACAAAACCACTCACTCAAAAGGTTGAGCATGGACTATCGGAAATTTTTTCCAATACCGGTTTTGTTTCGATATTAAATATTTTAATACTGATATTCCGGTATTTCGATATTTTATCGATATTATGGCTAAAAAAAGAGAACAAATTTGTTTACATTAAACGTTGTTAGAGTCCAAATTAGAAATAAGACACTAATAAAAAGTAAATCAACTACTTTTATTATTGTGATCTTATATAATAATTAGAAATTAAAAAGTATGAAACACAAAAATAAACAATTTCTTAACATACTCTGCTATGTCATAAAATTAAAAAATCAACACAAATTAAAATAAGTAATTGAGTAACATAATATATAAGTAAATATTACAATAAACGCAAATAACTGGATATTAAATTGGTGGGGTGACTATATAGTCACCAGCCATATGTTGTAAGATGACTATATAGTCATGGCTTCAAAAACGAAGCCTACGGCAATTCACGAGATCGCGATTGCTGAAATATGGAACGTAAGTAGCAAAGGGCATCCAAGGTATTGTCTTTGAGAGACGATCTTATTTTGTTGCACGTGTATGCCGCAGACGAGAACGCTCTTTCAGACTCTACACTCGTGGGGGGTATCGTCAGTAAATGTATGTACGCCATATCTAAATAGAACCCGCGGTTGCCACCATTTTCAAACAATGCCATTTCAATTTGAATTAACTTATGTTAGCTTCATCTTCTGTTTCATTTCTATTTCGCATATTTGTATTTTTCTCCTTCAATGATTTTTCAATTTCTTTATTTAGTTCTTTAGCAAAATCAACGCTTTCGAAATCTCCACTCACGCTGCTGGCGCTATTATCCAAGGCCAAATCATCCATAACCCTAACCACATGTTCATTTTCATAATTTTGCCTGCACAGTGCTTCGACTGTCACTTTGATAATATTCAGACTTTTCTGGAAATTGTCCAAAGTATGAAACTCGCTCTGTGTGAACTTGATATCAGAGTTCATGTCAATCAGTGCTTTGGATACACATGATCTTAACCTATTGAATCTATCCACCATAGTAGAGATGCTTCCCGAACGTGTCTTACAATCGGCTAGTAGCTGGAGTTCTTTTCCCGTATCCTGTTTTACATGTTTCTGTAGAAACATGTCATTCTTCACTGGAGAATTTTTGAAAATTTTGACTACTGCACGTACTTTACTGATGACACTTTTATAATAATTATTAAGCTCGTTTGGGTTTGAGTTTGACACCACCGGTATTACTTCAAATCCCCCGGTTTCGTATTCAGCACTATCTGCGTCGTTCTCGAATTCGGAGTCACTTTCACTTCCACCAGCAGTAACAGCAGTATCAGAGAATCGCACATTTTCCGCGCCGCCTTGCTTCTATAATACGTCAAGTACAGCTACAGACTTGATGATAAGCGCGCAGGTTTCTTCCAACTTTTAACATGACGCTGGCATCATCAGTGACTATTGCGACTGTATCTCTATCTAAAGAAAGCTCAAATTCGGAAAGCTTTTCTTTCAAAAGTCTGATACACGTCTCAGATGGCATTGAACCATCCATTCGCACCAAACCCAGATTTTTGAAACGTGAGTCATCTGTGAACTCAACTCCTATGTGAATGTTGATATTCATATATCTGGCGTTACAAGATGATATCCACTCATCAAAACTCAAAGAAAACTTTTTACCAAGGGCTAATAGATTTTTCAGTTCAGTCACCAGTTTTTTCTTTTCCTGTTTACTATAGTTTATGACTATATTTTTTATACCTTTTGGAGTCTTCGGTAATTTATTGTAGCCAGAATTTGTAAACAGTCTTCGCAGATCCTCAAAAGTACAAAATACACTGAATGGTATTCCGTCCAAAGCTGCCATTCTACTGACGGTTGTTTCAAGGGAGTGATTACTTTGAAAATAATCAGTTAATTTCCTTTTTTTTTACCATCGATGAGGACGCTGAACAAGATTCGCCTTTTGATTTTGACACAGCGGTCGTAATGGTTGGAGAAGCAGATGTAGATGGTCGGTTTATGCTACTGTCATTAGTTTCTTCATCGTCAGACTTTGAATTAACGTTACTAACGTCTATTGTATGCGACGATTTTAAATGAACGCGAATACCAGTTGTTGTACCGCCGTGAGATCGTATTATTTTTTGGCATAAATTGCATTTGCCTGACTGACCATCTTCTGCTCGGAGAAAGTAGTGCCAAACTGAGGTTTTATCATCACACTTTTTTTTCGAATTTTTCATACTTCATATTTTTACAAGTAAATTTGTTTGTTCAAGGAAGCTGAAAGCCTGTAACAAAACAATTTTGACTAAATAACTTTGACCAACTAAAGTTCAGATTTTATACATTTGCGAACTTATTTTAAAATTGAAGCCTATAATAGTACATTGTAATACAAGGGGCTAAAATGACCCATTATAGACGAGGTAGTTTTACTACCGAGCTTTAGCGAGGTAGTAAATAGGAACCGAGTTAAATTCCTTTTTTCCCAAGGGTATAATATGCAATTTTACGCCCGCTCTGGTACGCTATTATGACGGTCTTTTTCTTTTCCAGCAAGAGGAGTGAAAAATATATCTTTACATATAAATTTATCTTAGAGATAATCTAACGGTTCAAATCAAAAGTAATAATAAAAGAAACAATAACATTTTAATCAAAGTAGCCCGTTAAAATGTAATAAAAATCATAAATGTAATGCTCGTCGTATTTGTATGTACACTTACCCACTTTGTTTGTCCGACGAGTGATTGAAGTAAAACGACGACGTCACAAAAACAACACAACTTTGGCAATGCACACGTGCGTGCTTTTTAACATAAGCGCGAGCGCAACTATCTGGTCGAACCGGGCGCTGTGATTGGTCGAGCGAGGTGGAGCGAGCTACCCGACCCCCGAGCCACACGCGCCCCGCCGCCCCCCGGCGACCAAAGTGTTGTATATGTCACCGTAAAATTGTCAAACACGTTATATTACAATATAACGTATTTGACAATTTTACGGTGACATATACACACTTTTATTCGGAAATAATCATTTAAAAATGACATATTTGTAAGCCTGCTACTGGCATAACATAGCACTCGGTTTTTATCAATTAAAAGATCTGTATTTCTGTACCTGTGTTAACAAATAAAAGTGATTTGATTGGATCTGAGCTTGAAAGTGTCACCATACAGTTGAGGAGCTTTAAAACGAACCGTGAGAAAAGAGGACTTGTAGATGGTCTCGGTTCCATCATAAAAAGTATAACTGGTACCCTTGATTATACAGCAGATCATTTTAGTCGCGCTATAAAATCCATCCGCGAAGATTAAAATAAAATCGTTACGGAATTCAATAACCATGTAAGCCTAACTAAAGATTTAACAAATCAATACTCCAAAATAATAGATAACATTGTGGTTAATCAAAATAAATTGGAAATATTAATAGGTAAAATAAATCAATCCGAGGCTACCAGAGACTACGATTTAATTAAATATGCCCATTTTGGACAAGTACTAATGACCTTCAGTGATAACATTGACTCCATCTCACAGGAATTAATTAAGTTACAGAATAACTTAGCATTTATAAGAGCTAACACTATGCACCACTCTATTGTTAATTTAGAATCTATCCGGATAATGATTAACAGGTCAACCGAACTTTATGGAAGTAAAAAGGTAGGAGATTTAGATATTAGAGAATACTATGATATTATTAGATTAGGTTTATATTATGTAGGAAATGAAATAGTAATAGTATTTAAGTTCCCAATTCTATTACCCCATATATATGATATGTTATCTATTGTTCCTAACAAGAAACACGAAATCATACCTCACACCACCCTTTCTATTCCTAGCCATTTATCAGAAAGATTTTCAGTACATAGAGGCAGAATGCCCGAAGACGACCAGTAAATGGCACATCTGTAAGGAAAAGCGGAGCCTGAGAAGTGAAACATCCCCTGATTGCATCCATCACCTCATCACTAAACAACAGACGAATGCAGTATGTAACCCGTTCACGGTCACCCTAGATAAACTAGCTTACAAAGAATTAGACGACAAACACTACACCATCACTTTCCCTACAGCAACGAAATTACATCTATCCTGTGGACAAGATCTTTACAAAACACTTCAAGATAGTTATCTCGTTATTGTCCCTCTGAAATGCTACATAGAAACGCCACTTTTCTCAATTTCAAACATTAAAGATCGATTGAAGGGACAAGCTTTAAAGATATTGGACATACCTAAGGAAAACACCAGCATCCCATCTCCTGTATCGGCATATAAACTAAATTCAAAAAACCTTCAACATCTTCATGCAACGAACACTAAAACATCCCAGCAATCGCCAGTAAATCTAGGTAAAAACGAAGACTACAGTCTATACCATACTACAATACCATTTTACGCACTAATAATAAGTGCAGGTGCACTGATTCTTTGTATACTATATAGAAAATACAAGCCCAAACCAGCTGGAGTTACGCAAAGGAACACAGAAGAGGACCACCCTAAATCATTAACGCCCGAAATTAATAACGTATCTCTTTTTTAAGATTAAAGACAATCCGAGATTGCACCCTATCCAAAGATCGATCTAAATCCACATCCCAATAACACATGTTAACAAACCCAATCTTTTTTTTGCGGCGATCGCAGTCGATCCAAACATCTATCTGATTCCTCTCGACTGTTTCATTGTATGCATAACGACTGTTGCTTCATTCAAATAGATGTATTAATATAATAACATAAAATGTTGTTTTAAATCTATTACTATTGACACTAATCATACGTTATTACGTTAGCTACTTTTTTTCTCCCTAAAATTTTTAAATTATTATATTTTTATTAAATTAATGTAAATTTATAGTTAGAAAAAAATTACATAACGGAACGTCGCCGGTAAGTAGCGTCTCCGTAGCGTCAGTGCGTCCGTCAAAAAAAAATGGTCATTCATTGTAAAGTTTCACTGCTTAGCTTCGATCGTTTGTGTTTGTTATTAATTTTTGAGCGTATACAAACTTTTTTTCGAATTACAACTTAATAACAGGAATATTTACAGCAAATATATTGTGCATAACAACAATGGAGACACAAGTAGTAAGTTATATTGTATAATTTGATGTTTGGTGGGAATATGTAACTTTTCCCGCGTACAGCTACATATATCACTTTTTTATTTTAGATAAAAAGCAAGCCACTTTCAAAGGATGAAACCAAAACCTTAGTAGAATTTATAGAAATGAGTAAAATTATAACTTCAAAAGCCACAAACGCCACCAGCAATAAAATGAAAGATGAGGAGTGGATACGAATAGCCGAGCAGTTTAATGCTACGGCAACTAATTGTCGTCGGACACCACAACAGCTTCGGCTGAAATGGGAAAATTTAAAGAAAAATGCACGTAATCGTTGCACCAAAATAAGAATGAATAGCATAAAAGTGAGTCACTGTTTATTTATTTTTAATCTAAGTACAATTAAATGATTATCCGTTTTTATTTGAATTCTTTATTCATTTTATCATTATTAATTTGCAGACTGGTGGAGGTGTTGGTGAGTACATACCCCCAGATGAAATACTGGATCGTGTTACCAGCCTATTGGGGAGTACAGCCAATGGATTAGTTGTTCCTTATGGGGGAGATAAGGAACCTGAGCGCTATGTAGTGCTTTGTGATGGTAGTGGTATTGAGCCAAATGGTGGTAGTGTAGAGGAAATAGGTGGTGATGCTAGGGTCAATTTAGAAATCCTAGAACTTCACGACACATCAGTGCCAGATCCGCAAATGGAAATGATTGTGACTCCTACTCCTCCACATTCAGCATTGGCTCAGGTTAACACCTGTGCTATTGCTGAACAAATTAAAGTTACAAATACACCACGGAGAGTCACATTTAATGTCCCTAGAACAGGTAATGGTTATTTTAGTGTTGATAGAATTTAAATTTATAATATCACTATTTCACATGGTGTTCAGTTCACTGAGTTGGTGGTATGGTGATTAACTTGTATTCCACTTTAGTTTAAAAACTTGTGTAAATTGAGGCAAAATAGTAATATGCAAGAAATATACACCTTTTTATTTGAAAGAAATGCTATAACTTTAAGTTAACTTATTTAAATTAATTTGTATTTTACAGGTAAAAGGAAATTGCAGGGTGATGGGTCCAAATCTGCTAGAGATCTTGCCATTGCAGAATATTATAAGTTTAAAAAACTATGCCTGGAGTCAAAATTAGATAATATACTATTAGAAAATAAGAAACTTAAATTAGAAAATGAAAAACTTTTATTAGAAATAGAAAATTTTAAGAAATAGTTATTGGTCTAATACTAAGTTTAAAAAATTATTATTTTGATATATAATAGACAATAATTGTGTGTAAGTAGTTGTTAATTAATTTAAGCTTAGTATGTCTTTCATGATTTGTAATGTTGTATTTGAAAATCATTTAAACTAATGAAATATGTATTTATTAAATGTATAAAAGGTAGATACATAGTTAAGGTTTAATTTCCTTTTTATGAATGTCTCAGTAATATAGTAATTTAAGATAAGAATATTTTTATTGAATATTTATTTTGTTTTTACCATTAAATTTACAAACTATAACAATTTATTTTCTAACTTATTCTTACAATCTTCAACCTTTAACATCAGTGTATGCCTGCATCACATTCAGCTGAGGCTTTGATAATATATATTGCAATTTGAATACATATTATTTGCACCCAAATCTCAGAACAGTTTAAAATTTAAAACTATTTAATAAAATATTAACAACTTATTCTACATACAATTTTCAACCTGTAACGCTAGTTAAGACATTCTCCAATGAGTGTAATCTTTTCTACAATGTCCTAAAATAGTTATTTATTATATCAGTCCGGTGCATTGTAGGAATATCGTCAATAACATTATGAGGCATTGTACTGTTGTCAATAGACGGTAGTTCTACTTCAGAGGGGATTTCTGTGAGATTGTGATTTCTGCAAATATTATGTAGGACTGTTGTTGCTATTATTACTGCCTGCATATTTGGTATTGACAAACGTAGTGTAAATGCTACAACAGGGAACCTACGTTTCCATACTCCAAATGCTCTGTAACACAAACAAGTCTTTATTAAACACCAGTATTTCCATAAGACATTTTATCTAATTATACAGTTTTATTTAACATACCGTTCAATGGTATTTCTAGTTTTAATGTGTGCTTCATTGTACCTATGTTCAGCTTCAGAAACTGGATTTAGAATAGGTGTTAATAAATATGGCCTGTTAGGATAGGCACTATCTCCAAGTAACCAGCGATTTCCAAATTGGCCTGCATCACATTCAGCTGTGATAAAAATAAAGAATATTAGGCACTGATAATAAATATTGTAATATATTGCAATTTGAATACATATAATTTGCACCCACCTCTCAGAACAGAGTTATTAAATATTGTTGCATCATGCGTAGAACCAGGCCAACGAGCCACAACATTTATAAATTACAAATCTGCATCACAAACCCCTTGAACATTTATAGAAAAGTAACCCTTGCGATTTCTGTATTCTTCACCTGTTAAATGGCCTAAAATATATAAACATTATTATTAGCAACTTCATAATTTATTTATATTTGGCAAAATTTAAAAAAAAAAGTATAGTTATAAGGAGACTGTATGCGGATATGTGTGCCATCAATTGCCCCAAGCACACGAGGAAATCCAGCAATTCTATAGAATGTGTCTGCACTCCTTTGGTGAACATAAATATATTTATCATATAATTGGGCAATTGCTAATGATGTGTCTCGCACTATTCTGCCTGCTGTAGATTTTGAAACTCCAACAAAATCTGCTACGGATATCAACATTGTGCCTAGTGCATAAAACCGTAGAGTCAACAAAAGTTGATGCAATGGTGATACTCCATAATTTCTGCAAACGATTAGATAAAATGAAATATATGGAGATTGTAAAATAATTCTCTAATTTGTAATAGACCAGCTTTGCTTTACCTCGTGGAAGTTACGCGTAATAACGGGGTTATTTCTAACAATAAAGAATTGAACGCATGTTTGTTCAATCGAAACCTAAAGGTAAAATCACCGTCATCGAGACTTTGCGTATAATTCACTCTTCTGATTCTCTTTGGAGAGCGGCGTTGGGTTTCATCTTCATCACTACAGTCGGATAATTGAGCTAGCATTTCCAAATCACTGTCACTGTCACTAGATAATAACGTTAAATCCATTTTGGCGCAAATAAAATAAAAGAAAACACGTAAGAGTTTTGAACTAGAAGGATTAATCCTAGGCTTTTCTCGGATTGCGAATTTGGATTGTTTGCACCGATCGAACCAAACGTCAAATTTGACAGATAGGTTATTGATACACACAAACTGTCATTTACCCACAGAGGTGTACCTTTTTCTGTAATCCGACCTCCCAAGGATAGCTTGCTTCTACTGATAGTAATTTTAATCTCTGGATTGGTTATTGGCACTATCTAACCATAAAATGGATTGAATTATCAATCTTGGATTGCTAAAAATAGATTAAGGTCGAATATTAATTTCGGGCGTAAGGGTATACGCTATTCCAAACACTGAGAAGATTTGTCTCAAGAATTATACGCCTTGATTTAAGTGTGTGTGTGTGTGTGTGGGTGTGTGTGTGTGTGTGTGTGTGTGTGTGTGTGTGTGTGTGTGTGTGTGTGTGTGTGTGTGCGTGTGTGCGTGTGTGCGTGTGTGCGTGTGTGCGTGTGCGCGTGTGCGCGTGTGTGCGTGTGCGCGTGTCATAAGTTAAATGAGTGTTTTGTAATAAACGCTTAAGATGGTGTTTTGTAGAGCGTACTGCTGCTTCAGCTAAGCCATTAAAGTGAGGGGTATAAGCGGGAATAAATTTAATAAGTTAAATGAGTGTTTTGTAATAAACGCTTAAGATGGTGTTTTGTAGAGCGTACTGCTGCTTCAGCTAAGCCATTAAAGTGAGGGGTATAAGCGGGAATAAATTTAAATTCGATGCCTTCTTGAGCCATTTGACCTTCAAGTTCCGATTGAAGAAGAAATTGAGCCAGCTCGTTGCTTGCACCGATAAAATTCGAACCGTTATCTGACGTGATGCTCTTGGGCTTTCCGCGACGGGACACAAAGCGATTTAAAGCGGCAATATATGCTTCGCTGGATAGTGCCGTAACGAGCTCAATATGACAGGCCTTTACCGAACTGCAAATAAAGATTGCCAAAAAAGATTTAATAAGTTTACAACCTCTGCCCTTACGGTCTGCTATCAACACTGGCCCGGCGTAGTCGACGTTGCAATGAAGAAAGGGAAACTCTAGTTCGGTACGCAAGGCGGGAGGCTGGCCCATGATGGGCTGAACAGTTTCCGCCCTGTACCGGAAGCATCGCATACATTTGTTAACTGTAGCTTTAGCTAGGTTTTTGCCACCTAAGGGCCAATAAGTTTGCTTAATATTTCCTAACAGAAGTTGTGGCGGTGCATGTAAATATTTTAGATGAAAATGTTCAAACATAAGCTTAGTGAAATGATGTTTGCTGCATAACAAAATTGAGTGCTTTGTGTCGTAATTTTAAGGGGAGTTATCGAGTCTTCCACCAACCCTTATTATGTTATTAGCATCGAGAAATGGGCTTAAAGCTATAAGTCGATTTTTGTTAGGAAGCGCCTTTCTGGCTTTAAGAAGAGTATATTCGTCAGGAAACATCTCAGATTGAGATTTAAGAATAATAAAATTTAAGGAATTTTGAAGCTCTTGAACTGAAAAATGTTCTTTCATTTGCATTTTCGGGTTCTTACAGTTGTAAATAAATTTTTGTAAATATGCTATAGTGTTTTGTAAGTTTGTTAAATTAGATTTGTTTTTGATTAAGTTAGATATTAAGTCTGCATTAGAATTGTTAAGCGCGAAGGAACAGGTGATCAACTCTGGTAGATTCTGTTTCACGCCGACGTTGAGCACTTGTGGCCAATTAGTTTCAATGTCTGTTAAGAAAGGTGGCCCTGACCACCACAATTCTGAACCGCTGATGAGGTCAGCCTTCAGCCCACGGGAAACAAGATCCGCCGGATTGTCCTTCGACGGTACGTAGCTCCACGTGTGACCCTCTGTGCATTCCTGAATTTCATGTACACGATTCCTTACGAAATTTTTAAGGTAAGTAGGTGGTGTTTTTAACCACCCTAAAACAATAGTTGAGTCACACCAGAATCTACACTTGCTGATATGTAGTGTTAAAGAGGTTAATACTTTGTTACACAGTCTTGCAGCCACTAACGATCCGCAAAGTTCCAGACGCGGAATAGTTGTTGGCTTTATTGGCGCTACCTTGCTCTTAGAAGTCAAAAGTTGTACTTTGATAGAGCCTGATGCGTCTATAGAGCGAATGTAGACGCAAGCCCCATATGCTCGCTCAGAAGAGTCCGAAAACACATGAATTTCATGGAATATTGAATGGTCTTGAAGTACCCACCGAGGAACCTTTAAGTGGTTAAGAAGTGGTAAGGTGTCGGCGAACGAAAACCATGAACGTTTTATTTCCGTTGAAACCTCATCGTCCCATGAGCGTCGTTCGATCCATAGCCTCTGCATGATGAGCTTTGCTTCGATGACACAGGGGCCCACGAGACCCAATGGGTCGAAGATCTGACTTATAACGGAAAGTATGTGACGTTTTGTCACTTTGTCCCGAAGTTCGATATTGATTGAAAATGACAAAATGTCTAAATCGCAAATCCAATTTAGACCTAAAGTTTTAGAAGAAACATTACTATCGCTGTTTGCTATGTCTAAGACATTATCTGATTGTAATGAAGATGAAACGTGATGTAAAATTAATTTGTTATTTGATTGAAATTTGCGTAAATTGAAATTTGCAGTTTTAAGTGTATTAATAACTCCTTTGCACAGCTTGATAATGTCGTCAATAGTCGACGACCCGCCTAAATAATCATCAACGTAAAAATCGCGTTGAATCGACTGCTTTACGTCGCTATCGAGAGCGCTGGATGCTAAGCTCACCAAACACTTCGTGGCTAAGTATGGGGCAGACGCCCTACCATAAGTCACCGTGTTTAAGGTGTACGTTTTTAACGGGTGTGATGAGTCATACCTAAATATGATTTGTTGAAGTGAGCGTTGGGCGGGATTAAGCTCAATCGCTCTGTACATTTTCTCTATATCTCCAGTAATGACGTATTTATGCTGGCGAAAACGTAATAAAATAGAATAAAGATCTTCTTGTACAGTCGGCCCTACCATTTGAATGTCGTTAAGCGACAATCCAGAACTAGATACGGCGGAAG